TAGTGTATTTACAAATGTGATAGTACATCAATGGCATATTGTTCAATATGGATATATTCACAATTATCAACAGCTAACGAAGGAGGGATGTATGCTAGGTGCTGGAAAAGATATAGGAAAAAAAATATTAGGAGCAGGAGCTACAGCATTAGGGGCAATAAGTGTAGCAGGGATAATAGCTGCAGGTTCTTCTTATCTTGCTGGTAGACATACTGCAGAAGTAGGGACGCTTGCAATAGCAGATAAGTTTAGTAGTCTGATTAGGGCAGTTATTTTAAGTAATAACATTGATAATGATTCTAATGCCACTTTAAATGAAGCACTGGAATCATTTGAATTAAAATGGTTACTAATGAATCTTGATATAAGCCTGAAAGATGTAGAAGCGGGTAAAAAGAGTAAAGAAGAACACAATAGATATGCTAAGGATAGAATTAATGATATTAAGAGACTGTCATTAAAGTATCATCCAGATGTACAAGCAGGTATACAAAATGCAAATAGTATGCAACAGAGAATTAATGCAATACTGAAAGCACTGAATAATGTACATGATTATGTAATGAAAGAAAAGCAAGGGTATGGTTACATATATAGATTGTTTGGAGAAATTTCAGTCAATCTAATTAATAGCGGTCAAGATTTGTTTAAGATAATCAATATAGCTGCATGCAGTAAGTTGCATAATATAGCATATTGGGAAGAAGGAAGGTTAATGGAATCAAGGAATCAATATTTGGAAGAAGTAAGAGAACACTATATAAAGCCATTAAAAAATAACTTAGGTTTTGTGAAAAAGATACTTAATAAGGAAATGTCTATAAGAGAAGCAAGAAACATTCTTGACTCAACAAAAGAGATAAGAAAGAAATTTGAACGACGTAATGAAGAGTATCAAAAATTCTATGAAGAGATTTGGGTAGAAAATCTAAAATCGCTAAGTAAGGAGTGTAAAAATTGTAAAGAGTTGGAGATAATAAAGTTAGAAGTAGGTAAGTTATTAAAAGAAGGTGAAACACAATATAAAGTATTAAAGAGTCATAAAAAAGATAAAGTACAACCTGACGAAATATTTGTAGAGCCAATATTGGAGTATGCTGATTTGGTAAATTCATACTACAAATTGATAATCAAGTTGTGCGAAAATATAGAAAGTTGTGTCCGTTTGAGTGGTAGCTTCAATGGTAATTTTTTTGAGCAACAGAAATTTGTGTTAGGAGCAGATGAAACTGAATTTACTGAAATAAGTAAGAAGTATATAAAAGAGCTTTCGTGTCAGGAATTATTTAAATTTGCAAACCTTATGGTAAATTATTATTATAATAAGGAAGATGGCAGAGGGTTACAAAAGGTAGTAAGTCAGTATTACAACGGTGGCAATCTAAAAAGGAGAGAAATAGGAAATATATCAGTTTTTGCGCTAAATCAGTTAACAGATTTACTTGAAAAAAAGTTTGAGAAAAAAGAAACCTTTTTTGAAAAAGAAAAGAAAAGAACAAAAAAAGCAATAGAAGAATCAAACGATATAAGGAGGCGCATAGAAGAAATAGAAGTTAGAATTAGATCATCAGAACAAAGTATCGAACAGTCAATTCAGGCAAGACAAAGGGCAGAGCAAACGGCAGAACAAGAAGCTCAAAGGGCAGAACAAGAAGCTCAAGCAAGACAAAGGGCAGAGCAAACGGCAGAACAAGAAGCTCAAAAGGCAACAAAATTTGAAGAAATGTTAAGAAGAATGGGGGTAGATCCAGAAACTGTTTTAGATGATGTGAATGTAAGCCAAGGTGCAAGTGTAGGAATTGGGAGAGGCAGTGGAGCTGGTGTATAAGTTTTTTGAGTGTTTTTTCAAGTATGCAAGGGAGAGCAC